TTATACTATAATATATATTATATTACATATTATAATATATGACAACTATATAATATATTGTAATTATATTATAATATTGACGGGTAATTATGAAAAAAAAATAAAGAATAAAAATTTGGAATGACTATTTCTCTCATATAATGAATGAATGATAATTCACTCAAAATGGGTGAATAGCCATTCATATAATTATATTATATTTCACGGTTGTCATCATTGTTATGAATTTATTTTCTTTTTCAATACGGTTACTCATTATTATATAATTATATATAATTATATATATACATGGATCTCATATTTTCTGATATATATATATATATATTTGCTTTTTTAGGACTTTTTCTAATGCAAAAGTTTTCTATTACATATGATATTTTATATAATTTCTTTTCGCCGTTTGATTCAAGTGTCTGTATGATTTATTACTTGTTTGCTCTATTTCTTTAAACCATTATATTTATCTAACTCTTGTATTTCTATTATACGTTGATCTTATTTCTCTCATTGCATGCTCTTTTGACTCATTTATTTTGCTCAATATTATTGTCTTCTAATAACAATCTATTATAATCTCTCTTTTTCCAAATTCGTCGGTCTCTTCTCATAAGAGTTAAATAATCTCTTTTATTGAGAGTTTCAACAGTACTTAATATTAAATGAGAAATAATAGAAAATATGCCAATATGAAAAGCTTTAAAAAGTATAGAGGCTAATTTTTAGTTATAGAAATTAATGGGCCATAACTTGTTAAGTTATGGTTCATAATCAGATAAGTTATCGACAAACTTATCAAGTTATGGACAATAACTTGTCAAGTTATGGTTATAACCAGACAAATTATGGACGAAAATAGTAATTTGGCATATTTATTAACTTATGTAAACTCTTGGCCTATTAATTTTAATTCATCTCAAGTCTTGATCTATTTTTCTCTTTCTCCCGTATTAAATTTCTCTCAAAGTCTCCAAGTTATAGTCTCCTTTATTGAGTTTCAAGAGTACCTAACTGCCTATATTTAATTATGCAATTATTTAAAGTGATATAAAGGTTTGTAGGGAAGGTCTAAACAACCTTCCTTTACTTCCTCCCTCAGCTAAAACAAAATCACCTCAGTGAAATTTAACATTCCAACGCCTCTGTAATGGTGTTAGCCATATTATTCAACTTATTAGAGTTTTTTCCTTAATTCAAATAAGTCAATCTTTCTTGCTCTTTTAAATATTGATTATGATTTATATTTACTGTTCCTTTGTTCATAATTCTCAATTTTTCAGGTTCATCTCGATACCTCCAACAACATTTTGATCTTTGATCTTAATTATGTCTTATTTTTTCTTCTAAGCAGTTAGATAAATTATTTATGTTATTTTTTAACATCGCGTGATTTATTTTTACTCGTCTCTCAAATAAAAAAAACATTAATAATTGAATTTCTTTCCACCATGAATTATATATATTTTTAGATACTTTCAGTGTATTAAAAAAAATTACCACACACAAGTCTCTTATAAGTGATAACGAATCATCAGATAAAAATGTGGAAGGGGACGTTAATATTGATGGTAACTGATTATGGTGCGGTGGTGATTCACGTGGGACCCGTATAGACTCGATGAGACGCAGAATATGGGTCCACGTTTGGAGAACCTCCTGGTCCGCCATGTGACACATAACTGGCGCAGATGAGTCGTCGAACCTGATATCTCGGACGTTGATTCGGCGAAAAGCTTTTAGACATTTCTCCCTGCGGATTCATATGCTTACCTTCCGTTTGTGGGTCCACCTTTGTCCGTTTTTCCTTTTTTTTTTTTTTCAATTAAAATTTTCAGCTGTTAATGGGTCCTTTCTGAAAGAAAAAAGAAAAAAAGAAAAAAAGAAAATGGGCCGGTTGTTTGTTAAATCACATGTGGATCCTCTATCAACCATCAAAATCAATCATTGAATGAGGGTAATAGGTCAAAATTAATTGACCATAAAAATCAAAGTTTGTTTATAGCATAAAAGCTCATTGTAAATGCACATTTACAACCTATTAAAAATTTTAAGGACCGATTTAGTATATGGGTTTAAAATAATGTTTTTAATTATAACTTTTAAAATTTAAATTTTTTATAAGTGAAAAATACTGTTGTAAAATTAAAACTATGAATTTATACTGTATCAGAACTCATGTACTAAACATATACTAAAATACCCTATCTTCTTCTCCCCTTCTCCTTTCTCACAATTAGTATATTTCACCGGAATCATCGCCGGAGTTACAATCCTCGCCGGATATATCATCATCGGAGTTGTCATCGGAGTCGTAATATTTACCAAGAGTTTTTTGGTAAATAGGTCATTTACTAAAATATTTTTTAAAATGTTATAGTAAATGAATCATTTACGATAAATGGTTCATTTATTACTGCATAAATGATCTATTTACATGGTAAATTTTTCATTTAGCAAGAACACATAAAATGTTTGGATGGTAAATAAAGCATTTACCACGTAAAATAATCATTTACTGTCAGGAGTCAGAAAATCCATAATTTCAAAATGCAATTACTTCGTCCGACCTCCGATGTCGTGATTCTTGTTCCTATGCACTCTTAATATTGAGACGAACAAAGCCTATACCACAACAAATCTCAACGCTAGCTGAATCACGCCACTTGAGACCCTCTAGAGTTTTGCATTTTTCCTCGTCAAATTTGCCGCTTTCGGCATCGTCAGTGTACAACTTCAGTCTTATTACACTCAAACCTTCACGGGGAGTAAAAGCCGTAACCTAATTACTTTGAACAACCACTGGAAAGGGAGGATCGACAAGTGGAGAAGAGAAAGAACATGAGGAGAGAGAAAGATAACAAATAGCAACGATTAACAATGATGGTCACTGCCTCAACGAAGACGACGAACTCCATGGTGATGGCATTATGTCATGATGCCGAACAAGGAGGAGGAGAGAGAGCCGATTGGGAGAAGAGAGAGGAAAGATAGAGATGTGGGTAGAGAGGAGAGGAAAAGATAGATCTAGATCTAGAAGAAGAAAGAGGAAGGAAATTAAAGGACAATTTTGTTACATCAAGTTGTAAAGTGTTATTTATTTCTATCAAACTTAAAGCTGCTATTTACATTCTCTAGAAATTTGACCTATATGCTAGGATTTCCTTTTGCCTTATTCAAGCACTGTGTGTGTCGATAACTCGTACGGATTTAGGGCACGTTTACTAAACTATAAAGGAATGTAATGAGAAACATAATGAGATTAGAAAGGAAAGTAAAGTAATAGAATTAAGGGTCATTCGTTCCCTTTCAAGTGTTTACATGACTATTAAATGGTGTTATGAGAAATAATCCCATTCTCTTTCTTATATTTGTTAAAATTAAGAATAACAATTTTATGAATGTAATCATTAAAATGACTTTTTACACAATTTGATAGTTATTAACTATATAGTAATTTATTAAGAATAGATAAGTAAATTTAGTATTTATTCCTTTTGACAAGGAATCAATACTAAAAGAGGTGTAAGGATTAGCATTTTCTTTCTTCATTATCTATATTGTGTGGAGTCTACTAAATCTCTACTACTGATTTTATAAGTAAAATATTATTAGATGAGAAAAGAAACAATTTCTTCTTGATAAAAAGTAAACATGTCCTTAATGTAGCCAATGGTTCTCAGGCTCTAACTGCCCATTACTCAGTAAAAGAGGTTGTCAACATTGGGCCCAGAATACAAAAACTAACCATTATTTTACATCATTTTCCTTTTTTTTTAGAGAATAAAAGAAGGAAAAAGAATAGAAATTTCCCGAACTATTTCCTAATTTTTTAATAGCTTATATGATTCAACTTTTGAAAAAAATTGCTTTGTAAATTATACGACCCTTTCAACTTTAATTATACCATGTGCCTTTGTAAATGTGGAGGACGAACTCAATGATATCTAGTCAATATTAATCACACTTTCCTACGGCCCATTAGAGGCCACCTCAGCATAATGGGGACACGCTGTGGGATATCATCATCATCCTGTATGATCTATTATATTCCTTGATCTCCATTCATTGTAGTTTTTTTTTTTTTTTTTTTTTTTTCAGAGAAAAGCTTTTTTCCGTTGGTTCATCATTTTTCCCCTGCTTCGGGGAACACCATACAATTATTAGATGCAATTAGTATGAGCTTCTTGCCGTAAATATAGACATGTTTAGTTCGCTGATTCGAGTTTTTAATTTGAGTTGAGATGTGATTTTATATGAAATTTTTTTACTGTAGTAAAAAAATTAGATGTGACTGTTTCTGAGAGCTTTTTACTGTAACAAAATTCGAATTATAAATTCGAATAAGTAAAATGAACAGATTCATGTTTTTTCTTTTTCTTTCTTCCATTCATTAGTTAGTATGTGCCCCTTCTTTATAGAAGAATTAGTTTGTGTGTACCTTGTGGAATAAGTCATGAATATACAAATATCACTTGAATCATTTCTACCAATATTTTAATTTTACAAGTTTTAAAAAGTAATTAATGACAAAGTGGAATTAGTGGTCGAATAACATTATTCATAAGAGGATAAACTAGAAGTACAGAATAATATATTAAGCATTTCATTCTCACAATTTTTATGTAACATGTAATAGTAACATTAAAATAGTCTTAAAATTACAAATTAGGCCGATGATTTGAAAAATTTTAGACATTTGTACTCTGAGTTGAATCCTATATGATACAAAACCTTCTTAGACAAAGGTCCGGAACAAACTTAACACGAATAAAAATTATCCAAATACAATAGGGCCTTGCTCGAAAATCTATTACTCATTAATTTATGACTTCCAAGAAATGAGGAAGAAGTAGGAGCCGATGAGTGTAGTTCACGGGTAACATTGCAATTCTAAAACGACTCAGGGGTCATTTATACTATTGTAAGAAACATTCGTGGAGCTAAATACAAATTATATAAAATCATTTCCCAAAGTCACCAAAATGCAAGAGAACACTGTAAGGTAAAAGCAGGAAAATCTATGCAATACTAACTTCTTCCTTTTTCGCTGCACAAACAGATCTCAATCTCAAAATTACCAATTAGTCAATTGAAAAAAAAAAAAAAAGATTTTGAAAGAAAAAAGCTTAACAAATCGAAATCGGTCGCTTACACATGTAAATCCGAAACATGCTCAGATCTTCCATGGCCTCCTCCAGCAAAATTGAAATCGTCGGAGAAGACGAAGCTCTTGAAGAAGAGGTTTTTCTTCCTTTAATTAAATTTATATTCATTTTATTTTAATTTTCCAAGAATTAGTTCTTAATTCTATTATCGAAATAGCAAAACGGCGTAGAAAAGTTGAAGAACACTGATCGTTTGTGTGACATCTTCGCAGCTTGAGCATTTCGACGATTTCACTCTTGCCTCGTCATGGGAAAGGTAATTCATATACTATACATGTAGTATACGTGTATTTGGAAACACGCATTTCGTGTTGATGTACGTATCTACGTATAATTTCGTATTGCGTAGGTTCATATCCGAGATAGAGGCGGTTTGTCGGCAATGGATGGCGGACGGTCCAAAGAATTTATTGGCACGTTTGTGTTACTTTCAAAATGTTTTCTTTGCCAAACTAGAAAATCATATAATTTCATAATTTCCAAAATGCATTTTTTTTTGCCTTAATTTTGGACGTTCTGTATTACTTGGTTGTAGAAAAAGGATGCAATTCAGTTGGAGTCTTCAAAGGATTTATTTAAGGTCAAATCCGAGTTGAAAGATGTCGCAAAAAGTTATTGCATGGAATACTACTTTGAGACCAACAATAATGGTACTCTTGAACCTCTTTGAACAATTTGTATTCGGTATTAAAGACTAATGTGTCTTGTATTTTGGTTGCATAGGAAAGAGTCGCATGATATGCAGTTATGTTTTGGGGTCAAAGAGTTTTTGGTATGTTTTAACTTAGCTTCTTTTTCTTTCCTTATTGCGCAAGGTTCATCGCTATTTTCATTCTGAATATGTGTCCATAAACAGGTGATTGCGCCACAAAGTGCAAGCGGTGTAGTTCTTGATGCCCCTGAGGCTAGCAAGCTGTTAAGTGCTGTCGCAATTGCTTTATCAAATTGTTCGAGGTATGATATTTTTTTGTGAAAACTCCTGCAGTGTAACTTTTGGGAAGTGTAAAAGAATGGGTGCCTATGAAACTATAAATTCTAGTATCTCCTATCATTTCATACCCAATTACTATTTTTTGCTCGTCTTAAAAGTTAGTTTGCTGGGCAGTTTATGGCCAGCATTTGTGCCAGTGCATGCTCCTTCTCGAAAAGCATACATTGGTATCCAAAATATGGGAACTGTTTTCACTAGAAGATTTGAGGCAGATCATATTGGTAGTCAAGTTCCAGTAAAACTCATGCATCTGGAAGGACTGTACGAGCTGTTTGTTTCTAAGTTTGTGAGTTTCTGTTACTTATAATTTCATAAAGATTATTATTCCCCCCCCCCTTTTTTTTTTTTTTTTTTTTTTTTTTTTTTTTTTTCGTTCTACAATCTTTATTATAATACTGAGAGATTGTTTGCGTGTTTATCTTGCTCTTTTTGTATTTTGGTCAGTTTTTCACACCTGGCCATTTTTGTTTCTTTCCAGTTTGAGGATATCTTGTCCTCTGCCCTTGTTATTGATTTTTATCAATAAAGTTTTTATTATCAAAAAAAAAAAAAAAAAAAAAAAACTGAGCTACTATCAGTGGTTTCTGGATATGTTCTTAATCTTCCCTTTTGTGGTCCTGTTATACTAGCTGTTTCAATTCTTTGACAGAACTATAGCTAACTTGACAAGTAGACCTCCCTAAATGATAAGTGGGACATAGATTAGAACCTTGTTTTCTACAAGCCCAGAATAATTTCACTTTTCAAGAAAAGGAATATGTTATGTTCTTTAGCTATTTTCCCAGGAGCTCTTTCTTTGATCATTTTTTGTTGGCAAAACTTTATATTGTTGAAATTGAAGTTCCTTGGCTTATCACGATTTTTCCTTCTTTTCATACTGTAGTAATTTTTTTTTGATGTTGAAGGCCTACTCCACATTGGACTTTTCTGTGCATCTTTTCAAAGTCGGTTTTACGATGAAGCTAACATACAGAACCCTCCCCAATGATGAAGATGATGACGGTGAGCAAGAAAATGATGCTGATATTACTCAAGCTGGAGGAAGCCCTCGTAGTGATACTCATAACAGAACACAATGGGATGATGATTGTCCTTGGAGTGAGTGGTATTCTGCAGAAGACCCCATAAAAGGTGATGGTATAAGAAAAAACTCATTTTCCCTTGGGCTTTGTGTTTGAGAATGGTTCTACTTTTATGTTTGATCGAGCTTTTAGAGTATCTGTAGGATGATGAATCAAGGCTTGTCTTATTTGTGACCTCTGAAGAAATTCAAATACTATCCTCCATATGGAGTACACATATCCTAACATTTTTTAATTCCTTTATTTCTTTAACATGTTATTTTTGAGGGAGCCTGAGGAGCCATGATTACGGATGGCATTTTATGCTTAGTAAATCTTCTTGATATTCACTCTTGTTTTATGCCTATGTAATGTGGGTTTTAACTTTTTCGTTTTAAATGATTTATTACAAGCAGGATTTGAATTGATTGCTCAATGGTCAGAAAAGACGGTTGAAAACTCTCTAGAAATGGCTGAATTGGAAAATTATTCTCCCCTTGAAGCTGAGAAGTGGATGTTATATCCAAATTTGTCTCCAAATCAGTGAGAAGCCTCTTTCACATAATGCATCATAACAAACACAGTCTAAAATAAATTTCATTCCTATGTGCCGATATGTTTGTGATGACTGTTAGCCTTTGATTATTGTCAAAACTTTTACCTTTGGGATCTTATCTTTCCCCTTCCACCATAATAAATATGAATATAACGAAATTTGCTAAAAATTTGAATAATTGTATCACTTTCGTAGATTGTTGTTAGAAACTCCAGTTTCCATTTGATAAATGTTTATGCAAAATTAAACGCCACAACTTGATGGTACTAACTTGTTCTATAGATGAGCAGTTGTTAATCAGGAATGTCACCAACTGTTGTATATTAACATCTGGGTTGCTGTTATTATTGTTGTTGTTGTTGTTTTTTTTTTTTTTTTAAATGAATTTGTTAACTCCAGCGAGATGATGGCTGAGTTTAACATTGTTTTATACTTTTAGTAGAGTGGTGTCTTTTGAAAATTATCTTACATAGGTGCTGTACTTCTTTAATCGTCTGCATTGGATAAATAGCATGTGGTAGTTATTTTTTACTTCCGCATGCCTGCTTACTCGTACTTTTTATATGTGATAAATTTTAGTTTCTTCTGTTCTTGTGCAATGTCGTTTAAATTGTCTCTCCATGTGATGTTTAACTTCATCTCTTATAATATTCTGAATTCTGAAAATAATCATTATGTTTTCCTCAGAAATGATGCTCCCCAAGGAAGCAGGGTTGGTTTTTCTTCACAGTTGTGCTTTTTGGTCGATGCATTGGATATGTCTTTCCCGGCTCAATTTATGGAAGATTTTGTGTCAGGTTTGAATAAATTCTGATAGAAAAGTGCCATTAACTTGTTTAACCTATATTTGAGAAATGCATATGTTGGTCATATTTCTTGGAGAAGATTATTGCTCAAGATATCTATCTATTCTTGTCGTTTTCTGGCAGTTGAAAACCCAGGTTCTGACAATTTGAAGTCCTCTAGTGTTATACCTCCACCAACAGTTACTGATCGTGTGCTTAAAGAACTATTTCATGAGGGTAATCCTCTAAGCAAAAACATCTTTTTATTTTGTTGGTTTTTGAGCACTTGTTTCCCTTTTTGTTGGAGTTTTCTGTCTTCTGTTGATATATTTAATAATATGACTGACAATAGATCCACAGCTTTGTCCTATATACTTTATGTATTTTCTGAATTAGTTTCCACATCGATGCAATTTTCGCACGAAATAACATTTTATACACCTGAGCATTTAATCTACAGTGTTCCTTGTTCAGTTGTAGCTTTACTTTAGCATTCCCAGGTTTATGCGTTTCTAGGAAGTTAATTAGATTTAGGTGTTCGTTGGAAGTCTGTCAAATAGATCTATCTACAAATTCTGAAAGAAACTGGAGAAAGAGTTCCAGAAAAAATAATGATAAAAAGAAAGGAGAAAACGTCCACCTTGCTTGGAAGAATATGTCAATGCTTAGAGTAATCTGATAGAACCTTGCCTAGGCCTCCTTTGAGATTTACCTATACTATAAGGGGTAAAAAGGGAAAGACAAGTGACGTGGTCAGGGCTAGTGATGCTGCTGAGTTGGCAATTCCGTTAGAGGAGTTTGTTAGAGAGGAAATATAGGGGAGGGGAGGTGCGCTAGGGAGGGCATCAAATCTTGTGAAAAGTTAGTGTTGGTTTGGGAGGGGGAGAGACCTTGAATTCTCTCAATTCTATCTTTCTTTTCCTTTTGGTGTTTGTTTTCTGTCGAACTTCTCTGTAACTGTGGAATAGAGGAGTGTTCATCAATAAAAGGAACTGGAACCCATCTTTCTGGGTATTTTCATTCAAATTCCTAGTGTTAATTTTCATTATCTTGATTCAGGCAGGGCAAGTACCTATCAGTTGGTATCAGAGCATCAGTCCATGGCTAACCTTCCAGCTGAGTTACGTCCGGAACGGGCGGTGGACGTGGAGCGACGTTTGGGAGATCTCCAGGAAACGGTGCGACTCTTCAGAGCTATGACAGATCCGGTTCCTAGGCTGCAAGAAGATGTGACAATCCTTGCCGAACGAGTAGAGCGGGTGCAAGATGCGATGGTGCGCATGGAAGCTCTCCTAGGACGATACTTTGGAGGAGAACGTGAGCCAGCTCTACGACGAAGAGCAAGGGACAAAGACAGGGAGCGGGAGCGTGAGGACTGATAGGAATCTCCAGCTCGGCGATGCCGACTTGAGCACCTGGGAGGAGACTTGAGCTGCCCATCTTCACCAGTGAGGACCCATATGGCTAGCTATTCCGAGTCAAACGTTACTTCTCGATTAACGATGTGGAGGAGAACGAGAAGGTGTTGGCGACGTCGGTTTGTTTAGAAGGGCGTGCGTTGGGTTGGTTCTAGTGGGCGGAAGCGCATGAGCCATTTGTCAGTTGGAGGGAATTCTGGGCAGCCTTGCTGCCCCGCTTCAGCCGCGCAAGAGAGGGTGACCCAACGGAGAGGTTGATGTCGTTGAAGCAGAGCGGGTCGGTGGCGGAGTATCGCGACACCTTTGAGACGTTGGCGGCGGTGTTGAGAGGAGTTCCTGAGCCCATCTTCAGGGGAGCGTTTCTGAATGGGCTGCGAGAGGATATCCGGGCTGAGGTCAAGTTACACCGGCCCATTAATTTTTCAAGAAGCCATGGACCTGGCCCAGCAGGTGGAAGACAAGAATGAGGCCCAAGACAAGTTTGGGAAGCTATGGATGGGCCGCATGTGGAGACCAGATGGGTTGGCCCGGGGAGCTTCTAATTTGGACCAGCCTAGGGGTAATTATCCCTTTGCTCAGAGCTACCTTCAGTCCAATGGTTTGAAGGATTATGGAACCTTCCCACGAGTGAAGTCAGACTCCGCTATTGCTCAAGTGGTGGCAACCAGCCGAGAACCAGGATTCCGACGACTTTCCGATGAGGAGATCCAAACACGGCGGGCTAAGGGACTATGCTTTCGGTGTGATGAAAAATTTGGGCCAGGACACCGTTGTAAGAACCGGCAGCTGCAGGTTCTCTTGGTGGCTGGAGATGAGTTAGAGTCGGAGGAGACGAAAGAAGAAGAGGCGGAGCCACCCGCTAGGTTCCCGGACGAGGCGGCGGTGTTGTCTCTCTACTCTTTGCTTGGTTTAACCTCCTCTAACACGATGAAGGTAATGGGGCAGCTGGGGTCCCGCCAAGTGGTGGTGTTGATTGACAGCGGAGCCTCTCACAGTTTCCTCTCGACTAAGGTGGTAGAGGAGCTGGGGGTACCATGTGATAATACGGCTTGTTATGGGGTCCAGGTGGGGAACGGAATGAAGTTCCGGTAGCAAGGGTTGTGCAAGGGAGTGGAGCTGTGGATTCAAGGCTTTTGTGTCGTGGAAGATTCCTTCTCCTTTGAGCTGGGCTGCGCAGACGTGGTGCTGGGGGTTACATGGTTGCGGACGCTTGGGGAAATCATAGGGGATTGGTCTAAATACATGCTGAAGATCTTCGACGGCTCTCATTGGGTAGGGTGGCAGGGCGATCCGACATTGAGTTGTTCCCCGGTGAGTCTTCACGCCCTTTCTCGGCGGTTTAAGTTCCCACAAATGGGATTTCTAATTGAGCTCTATGAGACCAAAATTAAGACTATAGTTGAGGCCGGTCCGGCAGTTCCACCGGAATTGCAAGGGGTGTTAGACCGGTTTGGGGATGTCTTTTCGACCCTAATGGGGCTGCCACCGCCCCAAGATTCGGATCATCGGATTGTTTTGACGGAAGGCGCCACACCACCGAGCATTCGGCCGTACCGGTACCCCTATGTCCAAAAGGAAGAGATTGAGCGATTAGTAGCGGAAATGTTGGCTTTAGGAATAATTAGGCCTAGTACTAGTCCATTCTCTAGCCCGGTGATTTTGGTGAAAAAGAGGGATGGAAGTTAGAGGTTTTGTGTAGATTATCGGGCCCTCAATCAACTCACGGTACCCGACAGGTTCCCAATCCCAATAATCGATGAATTATTAGACGAATTAGACGGGGCAGTAGTGTTCTCGAAGCTGGATTTACGGGCTGGGTACCATCAAATCAGATTTCGCGAAGGTGACATCGAGAAGACCGCGTTCCACACACATGAGGGGCACTATGAGTTTCTAGTAATGCCCTTCGGACTGCCAAATGCACCGGCAACATTCCAATCCTTGATGAATTCAGTGTTTTGGCCTTACTTGCGCAAGTTTGTGTTGGTCTTTTTTGACGATATCATCGTCTACAGCCGCACTTGGGAGGAGCACAAGATTCATTTGGCCACAGTGATGAGGGTTTTGCGCGCGGAAAAATTGTTCGTGAATCGGAAGAAATGTGTGTTTGGGCAATCCCAGCTTGAGTACTTGGGGCATGTAATATCGAAGGAGGGGGTCTCGGCCGACCCAGTTAAGTTGTAGGCCGTTCGGGATTGGCCTGAGCCTAAAAACGTGCGCACTGTCCATGGGTTTCTCGGCCTCACGGGGTACTACTGTCGCTTCGTAAGAGGTTATGGAGCTCTTGCCCGACTTTTAACGGATTTGCTTAAAAAGGGGGTGTTCACTTGGTCGGAGGCAGCCTCGCGCGCCTTCGAGGCCTTGAAGTTAGCCATGACCACTCTTCCGGTTTTTGGCTTTGCCGGATTTCTCCAAGACCTTCGTGGTGGAGACCGACGTGTCAGGGTCGAGTCTGGGGGCGAAACTGATGCAAGAGGGAAAACCTATAGCATATTTCAGTAAGGCTTTGTCGCCTACTTCGTGTTTGAAGTCTGTATATGAGCTGGAATTGATGGCGGTGGTCTTGGCAGTTCAAAAGTGGCGTCACTACCTTCTTGGACGACATTTCGTGGTACGCACAGACCAACAGAGTCTTCGGTTTTTATTAGACCAGCGCCTACTTCCTCCGGAACATCTCCGTTGGATTTCCAAATTGATGGGGTATGACTTCGAAGTGCAATACAAACCGGGGGCTGCCAATCAGGTCGCGGATTATCTATCTCGCCAGGAAGACACTTGTACTTATATGGCCCTATCCATACCTCAGTTACTAGATGTTGAAGCCATCAAGCGTGAGCAGCAGACAGATGCCGTGTGTGCTCAACTTATTTCTCAATTGCAGGCTGGCCAAGCTGACGTTAGAGGGTATAACTTGCGGAATGGCCTTCTTTGTTTTCATGAACGTATTATGCTGCCCCCGAACTCAGCTTGGATTCCGCTCTTGTTACATGAGTTTCATGATTCCGCCGTGGGAGGACACTCTGGATTCTTCCGCACTTACAAACGGCTATCTTCCAACGGGTCCAGTATGAAGAAAACGATTCGGGACCATGTCTCCCATTGTGCGACTTGCCAACGCTCCAAGTACGAAGCTCTTTCTCTGGCAAGTTTATTGCAGCCCCTTCCGATTCCGCAGCAGATTTACGAAGACATCTCCATGGACTTCGTTACAGGACTTCCATGGGTAAAGAACATTGACACGATCCTTGTGGTAGTGGATCAGCTGACCAAATATGCTCATTTTTGCCCCATTGCCCACCCTGTTGCGGCCAAACAAGTCGCGGAAGTCTTCATCCGCGAGATTGTCCGCTTGCATGGGATCCCTCGTACGATTGCCAGTGATCGCGATTTTGTTTTCATGAGCTTGTTTTGGCGGGAACTCTTTAAGCAATATAGCACGAAGTTGCATCATAGCTTTGCCTATCACCCGGAATCCGATGGACAAACCGAGGTCGTCAATCGCTACTTGTAGACATATTTACGTTGCTTTGCCGGCGACAAACCTAGGTTGTGGGTTCAATTCCTGCCTTGGGCGGAGTACTAGTTCAACACTAATTACAATGCCTCTACTAAGTTCACGTCCTTTCTGGTCGTTTATGGCCGTCCTCCTCCTCCTTCCTTGCTCCGCGTCCAGGACGTGCTGGCTGCCCCACCCAAGGATTCTGTGTTGGAGTCCGACCACACGCCTTCGTTGGTAGAAGATGTCAATCTACAGATGCTTCGAAACCATATGCTTGATTGCCTGAAGCACCATCTTGTGGTCGCACAACACCGAATGAAAAAGTTCGCGGACACTCACCGTCATGAGGTAACTTTTTTGCCTGGCGACTTGGTTTTGCTCAAGCTCCGTCCATACCGTCTCAAGTCCTTGGTGCGCAAGGTTAATGAGAAGCTCTCACCTCGCTTCTACGGACGCTTTCCTATCCTCGAGCGTGTAGGGGCTGTGGCTTATCGTCTACAATTACCTCCTATGGCTCACATCCACCCTGTTTTCCATGTTTCACAATTGAAGGCATTCAAGGGCCGGGAGTATAAGAACCAGCCATTGCCGGTGCAGTTAACTGAGGAGTTAGAGGGGGGTATTAATAGAACCCTGCCCAGGCCTTCTTTGAGATTTACCTATACTAGAAGGGGTAAAAAGGGAAAGACAAGTGACGTGGTCAGGGCTAGTGACACTGCTGAGTTGGCAATTCCGTTAGAGGAGTTTGTTAGAGAGGAAATATAGGGGAGGGGAGGTGCGCTAGGGAGGGCATCGAATCTTGTGAAAAGTTAGTGTTGGTCTGGGAGGGGGAGAGACCTCGAATTCTCTCAATTCTATCTTTCTTTTCCTTTTGGTGTTTGTTTTCTGTCGAACTTCTCTGTAACTGTGGAATAGAGGAGTGTTCATCAATAAAAGGAATTGGAACCCATCTTTTTGGGTATTTTAATTCAAATTCCTAGTGTTAATTTTCATTATCTTGATTAAGACAGGGCAGGTACCTATCAGAGTAATCCCTACAGGCTCGAGATACTTTTCAAGCTTATATTGTGAATTTTGATATGTTGCAGATCTGCAACTTCCAAATTTTGTTGATGGTGAGCATAAGACTTCACGAGCTATTAAGGGCGCACCACTTCCATCCCTTTTTGCACAGTTTTGTTTACATTCTCTTTGGTTTGGAAACTGCAACATACGTGGTATGTATCATAGATACTTTGCTATTTGTCATGTGGAAAATTTCTTGAGAAAAATTTCTAGAACATGCAGAGTTCAGTTTGATTTCTAGGAATGGTGTATGAAGGAAATCAAAATTGAATTGAATGGTAATTCTCATTCATAATTGGTCTGTAGATACAAGGTAAATACACAAGACATAGTTGACTTCCTAGTCTATTATAAGCAAGGAAATAAACTAATAATATCCCTATAATCAAAAGAAGAATATTCTATTCTACAGCTATGACTAGGCTAATTAACGAAAGAATTATTTACAATGAAATCTGCCAGCACAGGTTTGTCATACCACGTTTTCTTGATAATGTAATTGTGAAATTTGTTTCCTGATGCTTTACTTTATATACCTCAGCGATTGCTGTACTCTGGATAGAGTTTGTTCGAGAAGTTCGGTGGTGTTGGGAAGAGTTACAGCCATTGCCCCGAATGCCGACTGATGGTTCAATTAACTTGTCTACGTGTTTGATCAACCAGAAACTACACATGGTAGTAATCTTTTTTCCTTAAAGGAGTTTGGTGGAGTTAGTTCTACTCTTTTTTTCCTTGTGGGTCTTACAGTAAATTTGTGCTTAGAAGAATCACGTAGGACATCTTAATATGCATAGGAACCATGAATTAAAGTGATGGCATGATATATGTAACTTTAAGCCATGCGATTTCTGTTGAGATTCTTTTATCGAAGATTATTTTATGGATCATTGCTAGTAATTTGTATCTCAAGCAACGTGACATGATTTGTTATCCGTGGGATTGGTTTGTAAGATTAGTTGTTGTTCCTGAGATTTTGAGGTTTATTATGTATGATTTTCACTTTGAGAACTATTAACTCAAAATTTTTTTTTTTTGGGTGCTCAACCATCTGATGAATAGATTACAGAACATCTACTATTGTACTGATCGTATAAATAAGATGTTTAGATACGAGTGCTTAGTACATTTTGCATGTCCTCTAAGAATTTTGCTACAGTCCTGTACGATTTCAGGATTCAATTCTTAATTATGTCAGATGTGAACATCTCTTAAAGGTAGATGCACGTTGTGTGACTCTGGAGTTCTGTCAAACATGTTGCAAGACTTGAATTTCGTTGGAGGAAATTTCTGAAACAAATTGACCCTTTTTTTTTTTTAAATAGTTCTCTTGCTCTTAGATTTAAGCAACTGGACGTATTTCTCTGTATAATTCCTTTCTCTTGACTTTGTGCAATTCCTTTCTCTTGACTTTGTGCATATTCCTTTCGGTGGAGTGTACCATAGCAAGGCAAATTTTCACATTTCTGCTTTCTTGTTCAGCTTGCAATGTGTATTGAGAGAAAGCGTCAATTGACCGAAGACTTTCAAGATTGCATTGGCAGCAATGATCATCTTTCTCCTCGTGTTGAGGTCATTATGGTTCCTTGCATATTTTATATGTCCTTGATTATCCCTTTTTTCTGCCTAGGCTCATTATTATTTTCAACTTTGGCTGCATGCTGCATCAACTAAAATTGCAGAAAAAGAGTACAGTTGAGGAGGAATCATCGGATATGCAAACACCCGATGAATACTTTGATTGGAAACGTGACAGGTGAACTAAGCAAGTGAGATATCTGTGGTTTTCTTCATTAAAATACTGAATGGTTCTCTAATTAAATTCCTTTTTTTTTTTTCAACTATAGGGATTACTATTGGTATTATTATTATTATTATTATTATTATTATTATTATTTCACGTTTAGCTGTTGGTATTTTTATAGTTTATTGCCTGGCATGCTTCAGAATATGTATCTTCAGCGTCTGCATATAGATCCATTAAGGTGGCAGCATTAACGAGTCATCTATCAATGGATAAGATGTTTTAGATCTATTTTCTTTCTAATAATCAAGGTACTCAATAATCTGTTTTAATTAGTCAGCGACCTATATGAATAGAGTTAAATACTATTTAGAAACGGTTTATAAGGTGGGCAGGCTGCGAGAAGAATGTGTTTTGTTTGAACTTTGATTATTTGGGCACCCACAAGTGTAGGCAGATAATATACGACCTTACTTGAACAGGATCTGTTCTGTAGACTCGTACCTCTGTATCCTTGAGTTCCAAGTGTAGGCAGATAATATGAAAATTTTCCTTTGGTATCCTTAAAAAATTTATATATATCCTCTTTTGTGTGTATTGATTTGGACATACATTGCTCGTTTATACAGCAGTCCTTCAACACCAGATGATTTACAAGATTCTGGAACAAGTTCTATTTTGAAGCGTGAAGATGTGGTGTTGTCTTCTAATCTGAAGCCAGGAAATTGTTCGAGGAGGGGCTCAGTTGGTGTGGCAGGGTCCATCAAGCTTTTGAAGTCATATCAAAGCATGCATGTGCCATTCACGCAGGTTTGGATAAACACGTATCCCAGTTGGCAATCTTTTCACATTCTTTTCTCCGAAGAGTTTTAAGAATGTGATAAGAACAGAATGTAGTATTCAACTAAGAAGAATTGAAAGAACGAAAGTAACCTTTATTGACTAACAGAAATGAATACAAGAGCAGTCCTTCGAGACACTGCCAGATCTCCCCTACTCAGCACAAGCCAAGACTTCCTTTACAAGACTCCAGTAATTTCCTGATTCCTTTCTATCCCCCCCGATTATCTATTTATACACACTACCCTCTACAACTCTCAACATTCCTCCTCTAACAACTAATCACTAACACAGCCCTTTAACCTATTCACCCCTCTTGCCTTTCCGCACATACACTTGCTTAAGCAAGGGCTTATTAGACATATCAGAATGTTGGCAATCTTTTCACATTCTTTTCTCTGAAGGGTTTTAAGAATACGACATATGATCTTTTCTCTCCTTGATCATTGTAGGATGCACCACTTATGACAGAAGACATGCATGAAGAACGTCTCCAGGCTGTTGAAGCCTTTGGCGATTCACTTGTAAGCTTATACAACTTATGACATATGGTACTTATCTCATTTTTTAAATGAGGTGATAATTGGCGTGCAATGTTGTATATTTTTTAATTAGTCTGGAGAAAGTTAAAAGCGTTTTAGTTTCGTGGATGTTTAAGAATCAAATTAAAACTTAGCGGTCTACTTAAGAAACTCTAGTGTAAAAATCGATCGACTAAGCCTATAAACCGGGAATTACTGTGTAACAGTGGAAAACTTTTCTGATGATTTGACCCCTCCAGCTGGAATATACAGGAGAGACGTCTTTTGTTTTCTACACGTGTTTGGTTTGAATGATGTCTCTATTTGTTCAAGTGATTGCTATCATATGTGTATGCACGTTATTTTGAATATTTACATTAAGGAAAAATCCTTCTCATTCTTTTGCAGGACTTTTCGGCTCAGTTGGAAAAGGAGATCTTATCTTCAGGTGATAAGCTTTACTTGCTATTTCATCATTAATGGAAGAATTATACGTTGTTCATAGTAGGAAAAAGAACAAATGCTCAGGTCTCCTATGCCTCTTCTTTTCCTCTCTCGTTATGTTTTCATCACTTTCTTCAGTTAGCATATATGACCAAAGTAATACAACTTTCTTTGACGTAACTCATAAAGCAATATATATGTTCTCTGATAAGATTTTAAAATTTGCACTAGACATGTCAGCATTTAAAGCGGCAAATCCAGGTGCGGTTTTTGAAGATTTTATTCGGTGGCATTCTCCTGGAGATTGGGAGAAGGAAATAGAAGGAAGCAAGTCCTCCAAAAGTCCTGCCGAAGATGATTGGCCTCCTCAGGGACGGCTTTCACAGAGAATGTCTGAGCAAGGAAATATGTGGAGAAAGATTTGGAATGATGCACCAGCTTTACCAGCTTCTGAGCAAACGCCGCTTCTTGATCCAAATAGAGAAGGGGAAAAGGTGTGTCTCTTTGAAAAGGTCTTGATCTTTGGCATGTGTGGATATTAGGTTGAGTCATTTCGTGTGATACAATGCAACTATGTCGAAAGAACTTGGTTTAAATGCTTTTCCATCCCTTTTCTTATGTCAGCATCTCTCACATATAAGTTAACTATCCATAACATGTGAAATTCCATAGATACTTCATTACCTGGAAACAGTACGGCCGTACCAGTTGCTTGAGCAAATGGTTTATACTGCCTTCAGAGCATCGGCAGACACTCTAAGCCAGACGAGTTATGGAGGCCTGAAACAGATGGCGACCAAAATGGATCAACTTTACCTCACTATGGCATCTATACTAAAGTCTTTACAATGTGAGTTTGTCTTCCTGGTGTCCCCTCCCTTTCTGTTTAGCTCTCAGTTTACTTGGAAGTAAGTGATTCTAATTTAACAATTTAAACTTAATATGTTCAGCAAATTCTTTATCTCCTGAAAGTGAGACAATTGAAGACCTTAGAAGACTCTGTGTTGTTTTCGAACATGTTGAGAAGTTACTCATCCTCGCAGCTTCTCTTCATCGCAAGTTCTTGCAAGCACCATGTCTCTCTGAAGCAATTTTCAGTGATTTCTACAACTTTTATCTACCCCGAATGGGAACAAGCTGTACTGCAGACAATGTTCAAAAGGTAAAAAAGTAAAAAGAAACGGAAGCCTCTATTATATGTGGTATCACCTTAGTAAAGCAACCTAACCACTAAAAGACCTCATATTCCTTGTAAATGTTAGTCGAGCACAATTAACTATTAGTCGAGCACAATTAACTATGTCACCGGTGTTAATCAGGAACAAATGATTATATGATAGGGGTGACCACTGCCTGTTTCAACTACACTTTCATGTTCAGACTCTCATAGACTTCATTTTGAAAACCTGAAAAAGAATTCAAAAATTGTCACAACACTTGAATTGTTAGAATCCACCCACTTTGGCAGGCTTTCTAACTTCACTAGAAGCTCCGTTTCTTTCTACATCTAGGACTAACATATTTTATACTTTTCTTTCTTTTGTTGAAGGAATTTGACAAGAAACAAGAAGTAAGTTTTCGCGAAAGACAAGTTGTCTCAAATATGTTTGCACCTCCAACGGCTAACCAGTCATGGAGAAAGGTACTAAGCATGGGTAATCTTCTCAATGGCCATGAACCAATTCTCCGGGAGATAATATTTTCCATGCGTGACAAAGTGATTGGTAACCACTATGCAAGTCGAACCCCCGAGTTGCATCAACAAGAAATCGAAACATATCGAATGTATATATGTGGAACCTCAAATGATCTCCGTGTAGCACTTTCTGTTGCCTCATGCGATTAATTTTTATTTCTTAACACAACAATGTAAGTTTTCTTCATGTCCTCAATTCCTTATTCCTCTCATTACTCATCATCTCCTTTATAGTCTTATACTAACTTCTCAGCACTTTTCTATTGCTGCTCGAGGGGTTCTAATGGAAAATTCCATAGGAATGTAATTAACACTAATCTTTTGTGATTAGTTTCAAAATCGAATTGTCTGGTTCATGCAACCATACGAGCAGCGTATGTTTGTCGTCTGTGGAGAAGTAACAAGAAGGTCGTTTTTCGTGTTACCATAAGATGTTAAGAACAGTGGTCGTTGCTCATGAGATCAAAGTCCTGCTTAGTTATTGTCAAGGGATTATTTCAATGGCTAAATCGTTTGGTTGTTTGCTTAAACGATGGAATAGTGACCTTGTCACTTGTATTTACAGGCACGCTTTTCTAAAAAGAAATAGGCATATAGTTTACAAATGGTTTTTGGAATCTTAAAAAGAAAAGAGTGAAAAGCGCCAAAAATGCTGATTTGTTCACGTTGTATACATATACTATTTGTCTTTTCCGTTGAGAGTTATCATCGTGCTTCATGGCCGCTAAACTCACAAATTCAAAATGATCATCTTTTTATCCCCTGATTCTAAGAAAAAGAAGTTACTCTTATATTCACGACAATATTGATTTGATGCTCAGAAGTCGAAAAAAGGAAAGATTTTGATTTTATGATCGTCCTTTCCCTACTATATATCTTCTTTTCTTGAAAAAAGAAACGTTATCATTTGAAACCCGCATCTACATTTGCGTTTACATAACACAAAGAAACGACATGATTGAGTATGGAGTTATTTAGATCACCTGGCCGGTGGGAGGGGCATCATCAAAAAATGGACCCCACAATGCACCTAAAGTGTACGGCCGCGCTAGGTGGGGTCACTAGTACCCAGTATCTCTATTAATATTGGATTGCTTTACTCGAGAAGGAGACAGAGGAAAAAGTGAGAGGCCTATATAGTACGCACTCATGGGAGATTATACCCTCCTCAGATAAGTTTTTATCCCTACCATTACCAATACCATGTCTGTCTAAGCAAATGAAATATTACAATCAAGCTTTTAGTATAAAATTGACGGATAACGAAGCCAGAAAAAAAAAAAGAAAAAAAAAGAGAGAGGTGTAAAAGAATAGATCCACGTATCATTTTCCTAATCAATCATTTCTTAAGGTGTTGCGGCTTTCAATTTCTTATTTGATCAAATAGTCTTGATCAAGATTTTTCAGAGATAATATGTTTCTAGCAAAAACTCCTTTTGTTTTTCTTGCTTTTTTGTTTTTGTTTTTCTCTCGCTTTTTTCATTTTTTTTTAATCTCTCCCTCTATGTATATATATGTAGTGGGGGTTTATCCAAGTAGTCAAATAATAAGCTTTCATGGACTTTAAGGTCAACATCACAAGAAAATAGACCCTACATAGAAATAGAATGGGAACAAGGGACATGAATGGTGGGTGAGTGGTAATAAATAAACCAAGGACATGTGTATTACACACATGAGATGCCCATTTATTCAACATCAATGCTTTCAGCAAAGATCATGCACCTCCAATGGTACATATTTTTACTTGTTTGTCTTCCATTGAAGGTTGTGAGGCCCAATCTATTGAGAAAATATTTTATAATTATTATTATTTTTTTTCATGAAAAGAGGAATCGTGGCCGATTCATTTCATATGACTTAATTGTACAAATTGTCCTAAGCTCGTTTAAGTATGTAGATAAAAAGTTACTATCCTCATAAATTAATTTCAACTAAAATTATGTCGATTTTCTGTCACTTCCCAACTTCAATCTCGTTTAGCAAAATTCTTTTTTTTTATTATTCTTGCTAAATTATTGATTTTGGATCAAAGAGAATTACTGAACTTATTCTTAACAGTGCACGAGTCTTTATTTTTATTTCTTACTCTTGATTAATACTCTTCTGACTAATATAGTTGTTTGACTAAAAATGATATTTGTTTCTTTTCCCCTTTTATCAATATTAGGTCCTAACTATTCATTTGCTGGGAGACGAAGTCCCATATGTTAAGTTTTATTTATTGTAATCATTTTTACAAATTAGCTTCCTGATAGTTCAAGTTTTTTTTTTTTTGGTTGAATTGAGGTATTTGAAGGTCAATAATTTGGTTGCTTAAATACATAAAAGGTCAAGAGCATGATTTTACAATTTTTTGCCAAAAAAAAAAAAAAAAACCCTCTATATGCAAATATATGCTTTACCATCTCCCATAAGGAAATGGGGAAAAAAAAAAAAAAGTTTTAAGTTAGTATTTTTTTTTTCTTCTAAAAATTATTCTCTCTATTGTCAAAAAGAATCCCCAAATTGATAGCTTTTGTTAAACAATAAAAGGCTCTCTCTTCTATAATCTGGTGCAGAATAAAAAACTGCATGACATACTTCGATGTGAACTTGTAGAAACAGCAACCACCAAATTGAGTTTTTAGTTTTTATTATTTACTATTCCTGTTTTCACATTGAAAATAGCATGAATTAGAAAGAATGAGCTAAAGCGATAAGAAATTCAGCACTACTGATAAAATAAACTATTAGAGGGAGAGAGAGGTATCATTTTTCTTAGCTAGCTTTGATTGTTTGAGACGATAAATGATTAAGAGGAATCATCTTTTATATATGGTGGGTCATGCCTACCTATGAGAACATGTACATAATTTTGTACTATAATATTGATAGGAAAAAGAAACTGTGGGGTTTTGAAATGGACGTCTATTGTCTTGAATTTACGGGTCTAAGAAACTAATAATAATAGAAAACTTGGCAAAGAGATATTGCATATATAATAGATGATAGACCATATATATAAAAGATGTAAGAATTATATATCTCCTACCCCTACGCAACGCTTTGTAAATTATTGTTTATTACTTCATCAATTAACATAATTTGATGGATTGATAAATATGATTATGTTCCATTATGAGATGCCCATTAGGCATGGTGCTATCCTCCTAGGTTACAAGTCATTTTAAGGATTAGTACCTTTCATCAGGAACTAGATCTCATCAAGTGGCCAAGCTATATAAGTTGCTTGAATATGACTATCAATTGAATTGCCTTTCGGAAAATAACTTAGTAAATAAAAAGAAATGACGACAGATTATTTTTTTCACATATTTTATCGTTTTACATACATACATACATAAATATACACACACACACACACACACATACACACACGACAATGATATACGTTTCAATTAGCTCATCATAATAGTTGAATAGGGTAAAGCTTATAATGACAAACCAACGGACCAGAATATATGTATAGTTAGAGAAATGGTCCAGCTCAAACATAGTTTTCTGGATGATGTTGATAATTTGTATTTTAAACTTTATTTTAAAAAAAAAAAGGAGTTTGGAATCTAATATTAATTTCTTCTCACAAAAAAAAAAAAAAAACCTACTGTTGATTGAAATATAACCCCGATTTTTGTCACGATCTATTACTATTAATTCAAGCTTGGATCTTGATTACATAACCGAAGGAAATGGCAAATTATTAACTTAATCATTCTTATTAACAGCAACTTTTTTTTTTTTTTATATATATATATTGAATTCTATATTCTATACAACTACACTTCTCTGTGTCTGTGTTGCTTATACGTCAACTAACTAATAGTCAATATTATAGCCACTAACGTAGGTGAAGTGTGTGACAGTAGTAGAGTACACATGCTTGAGCAATATTTTTCATTAGCATGATAAAGTTGAGTTAGCACTTAAGCACAATATCTAAAGACAAATCTAAACTATAATTGTCAAATGTGATTGATCTCCATTAATTGCATTATTAGTCCCAACAATCCTTTTCCTCACTGGGTAGAATGGATTTTGGCATAAAAATGTACAAATATGGCATATTCATGTGTTAGCATTGTTCAACTTCTTGTAGTGGGCCACAAATTATTTGGCACTGACTAAGGTTTGCACTAAACACTCATAAATTGGAAGAAAAATGAGAACTTGGGTCGGGTAGACAATGCATAAATTATCATTTACTTAAATAATTAATGCACTTTGAAATTAGCAAAAACTTCCCCTGTATTTTATGTTTTGTTGATAAATACCTTTCTACCCTTTAAAAAAAACAAATAAACTCGAATTCTTAATGTTTCTCGGATCCCTCTTGGCCTTTAGATGGTCGGATTGGGGAAAAAGTTGCATGATTTTCCAAGCACGCCCTTACTAAAGGGAAGAGTTTGAAGCAAATTTTACATTTGAAGGGCTTTTTGCTAGTTTTGAATAAACAAAAGTGTGAATACGAATTCAATTGTACCATGTATTTGTCTTACAGAGAAATATGCTAGCATCATTTTTTTCTGTTATTATTTTTATCGCTCTCTGCATTTATTGTTTGACACGTAGATACCATTATCATATTTTTTATTTAAATAATAATATATTATGTTAATAAAGTCTACATATTAAACTATGAGTACAGAGAGTGATAGAAATAGTTATCCTAACATTTATCATATCTTACAACTCTCACTTTCAATTAATGAGACGACTTGAACCAACAATAAAATATTGGGTTTTCACTTTCAGGCCGAAAAGAAAAGATCTCCAAGAATTTGAAAACTTTGAGTTGCTTGAAACTTGAAAGCTCTTTTTTTTTTTTTTTTTTTTTTTTACATAACTTGAAAGCTTTTTTTTTTTTTTTTTTTTGTACATGCATTATTGCAATTTGCAATGGATGAATTGGAAATGTCCTCGTATCGCATTTCTTTCTTCTCTACTAACAATGACGTACCACAGATGTTGGCTTTAATCAATCACATGTTATCCCTCATCCTCGCACCTTTCGCATTTATTTCTCTCTTACTCTCCTTTTGTTTACTTGTGATTCCATTCTCTCTCTTTATAAATTTTTATCTATACTTGCCTATATATATATATAAATATATATATTATGTATACTAGTTAGTGGTACGTGCTACGTGAGTAATTTTATAGATTCTATCCACATGTCGAAGTCATATTATTTTTCTAATTTGTTTAGTAATAAAGGTTTTGATTGACTGTTTATTAACAATTAACACTAACATTATATTTGCAAGAATGAAACATTAACAAAAAAAAAAAAAAATGGAAGAGTCTTAAAATATAAAATGAAATATTATGCTGTTTAACATAAAGAAAATAATTTTAAAGTTTCATTTAACCATTCTTAATATTTTCAAGGATTATTATCATTGGTACTAGTACTGAAATTTTGGACGGGCCGCCCGCAATCGCCCGAAAATACCGAGTTTTTACCCGAGTCAGAGTCCGACCCGCCCGAGCCCGAAAATGCCCTTGAACGGGCCACAAACTTATATTTGACTGCCCGAACCCGGCCGGGCCACCCGAGCCCGCCCGAATAGCCAGATTTTTTTTAATATTTATTAATTTTTATAA